ACACAATGACAAAAACAAAGTATCTGGTCTTTCCTAATTTTCTTTTTTTTCAGTTTAGGATAGTGGATTTTTGAATGTTCTTACTTGGCAAAATAAAAGAACTGGCAATCCTATACTGGCCTCCAGCATTTTGGGGAAAATTTTACTGCCCAGAATTATCAGAATTCTGATCTAGACTGCCTTACTTAGACTTTTCCTGTATTTAAATATACCTATTTTTAAGCCGGGTGCAGTGGCTCACGCCTGTAATCCTAGCACTCTGGGAGGCTGAGGCGGGCAGATGGTTTGAGCTCCGGAGTTCAAGACCAGCCTGAGCAAGAGTGAGACCCCATCTCTACTAAAAATAGAAAGAAATTAATTGGCCAACTAAAAATATATAGAAAAAAAATCAGCCGTGCCTGGTGGCACATGCCTGTAGTTCCAGCTACTTGGGAGGCTGAGGCAGGAGGGGATCACTTGAGCCCATGGGTCTGAGGTTGCTGTGAGCTAGGCTGACACCACGGTACTGTAGCTGGGGCAGCAAGACAAATAAATAAACTATACCTATTTTGGAAATTGAAAAAAAATATGTGATGGGCTTAAGATATTTGAATGATGGAATATAGAGGTCAAAAATACAATCTTTAGAGCATTATTTTAATATCCAAAAGGCAAGTGACAAGTGGTGACATAGGCAATATTAAAGAAAGTTGCTTTCACTGATACCATAGAATATCACTGTCTTCACAGGGCTGTTATGAGGACCAAATTAGAAAACTAGGGAGGGGCTTCACCACATCTGACCTTTATGTGTGTGAGACATCAGTATTTTCAACAAAGCAAAGTAAATTTAAATCTCAAAGTTAGTTAAAGGGCAGAAAGAAAGATAGTGCCCCAACTCCGACCACCACCTATTAACCAGCTGTGCTACAGAGGGTAAGTATTTTTTTTTTTTTAGAAGGAATCTCACTCTGTTGCCCAGGCTAGAGTGCCGTCGCGTCAGCCTAGCTCACAGCAACCTCAAACTCCTGGACTCAAGTGATCCCCTCCCCTCCGGCTAATTTTTTCTATATATTTTTAGTTGGCCAATTAATTTCTTTCTGTCTTTAGTAGGGACAGGGTCTGTCTCTTGCTCAGAATGGTTTTGAACTCCTGACCTCAGGCGATCCGCCTGCATAGGCCTCCCAAAGTGCTAGGATTAGAGGTGTGAGCCACCATGCTCGGCCTAGACGGTAAGTTTTTACCTCTTTGAGACTTTGTATTCTCATCTGTAAAATGGGGATAACTTCCAGGGCTGCCATGAGGCTTTTCCCTGGTATATAGTTAAGTACTCACCAAATAGCAGTGACTACTAATAGAATATATTTTATGTGCACATAAAACTAAATTAATTATTCAAAGTCACAAACTAGTTAGTGGTAGAGCCTAAAGCAAGAGCCCAGGTTTCTTATTCTTTAGCGTTTTTTTTAAAAAAATGCAGTGTTGTTGGATTAAGAGTGGAGGGAGGTGGGTAGTTTTCTACTGGGTAAAACCATTTCAATCCAAACAAAATTAACAGCTACTTGCAACAGTTACATAAAAATAAAACAAAGGTTAGTGAATACATAATTTTACAGGGTTGTTTTTTGATATATATTTTTTAAAAGCTCATTTACTTGTTTATGCTAAATCTAATGGGAGTCAAACAGGAGGAAGACAGGTCAAGAATTCATAGTTGCTAGACAGAAATGGTTTCTGCAGCTCCTAGTCAGAAAGTAATGATATAAATGTGCATACACACACACACACACACACACACACGCACGCACGCACGCACCCACAGATTCACAGCAGATAATTAAGTATGCTTATGTTATAGGTATGACTATGAGAAAGACAGTGGTCCAGGCATGTTAGATAGTTGTAGATTTCTGTAGTCAAGTACTTTTTCCATTTCTCAAACTCTAAAAAGCTGCCCTGTATTTAAAGAACTTGTCAAATTATGCTAGTTATAACAGACTAAGTAATTCAATTCTATGAATATAAATCCCTTTGAAAATAATACTCCACTTAGACAATTTCCATTAAATAGGTCAATTACTGAAAACAATCTTTTTAGCTTTTCATATCCTTGTGAATTATGTATAGTTTAACCAAATCAGCTTCTGATCTGATTGATGATACAAACATGAATTTTGCTCATTTATAATTTTATGTAATAGTTCATCATCTCAAATCCCTAAGGATTTCTACTATGATTCTTTATACAAAGTCCAAGTAAGTCTAATTTGCTTTTAACAGGCACTTACTAGACCTCTCTTCTAGCCTGTAAATTACACGATACTATCACTTCTGGGACCCACTTGGTCCAGGCATGCTCCTGGGGCCTCCCCTAGGTCATGTTGTGGGGCTCCTGGGGTTTTCCTGACTCTGCTGTCATGAGCGGCAGGCACACATCCACCAGCCCTGACAGGGAAAGGAAAACTGCAACCATGGAAGAGAACCTTCTCTATGTGGTGCTCCTTGTACTACATGGAGATGAAACCAGAAAAACCAGCTTCCTCAGGACCCTATGAGCTAATTCAGGTGAGGCAATCACGGCTCTACACCACCCAGCACCATGTTTAAACAGCATTTTTATAAAGGAACTAGACAAATGAACTAATCTTCGTAACATTCCAACGAAGAGGAAGCCTTCTCTGAGCAGCCTTACTCCTACCTTTGGTGGTGGCACTCCCACTGTGTCCCCACACTTTGTGCACACCTGTGGCACTGTGCCCCGAGAGCACTGACTCACTCTGGACAGAGCCACGTCCCGTTTACCACTGAATTCCCAATGGATAGCATAACACGCAACACACAGCAGACGCTCAACAAATGACTCGACAACTGGAAGGAAGAAGCAACTCTGTGGCAGAAACTGAAGGGGCTAATTAGCTCTCCTAAAGCATCTTCATGCTCCGGAGCGGGCCGGAGGCCACCATCTTTCTCTAAACTTCCCAAAGTTAAACAGTTATTGAGTACTGTAGCATTACAGCACTACAGGCTATGTGTGGAAAAACAAAAGTGAGCAGGACAAAAAACTTCAGCCACACTTGGTGTGGGGAGTGTGTGTCCATATCAGTACATGTATTTGTGTGTGTTTGTTAAGGGACAGAGCAATAAACTGCCTGGTTTCCCTGCCTCCTGGTTTCTTCTTTATTCCCAAACATCCTATGCAACTCTGCCAAATTAGTTTCACTGTCATCATGCCAAGCCTTACCTGGAAGCCGTTATGGTTCCAGGTGCCCACAAGATAGAGTCTACCCTCCCCAGCATGGAAGTCAAAGTCCCGCAGCATCTGTTCCCATATCCCCTCAGGAATCTTTCTAAGAACATGGGGGTGCTGCTCCACTGTTGCCCGGTTGATTTTATTTTTTTTTCTCTTCCTCCTCTCCTTTGAAGGAATGCTGCCCAGTTTAGAAAATCCTTCCTCTTCCTCCTTCTAAAGCACAGCTTTGCTCATCTATCTCACCCTCCATCCACTCAAGCCTTCACAGGTACCCACCTATTGCTAGCTGTACTGATTTCTCTTGTACACAGTACAATCACATGATCCTTCATTTTTATAGACTTAAGTGTGTGGTGCCATAAAAGATTGATAATTCTGAATTGTTAACTCTACTTTATTTATGTCAGGTACTAAAACAACAGCATAAACTTCATTTGATGATTTAATAACCCCCTGTATTCTGTATGAGCCAAGATTAGATATTTGAAACAAATATATAGTTACGCTACTGAATTTTAATATCACGTCCCCAAGGCCAATATTTTAAAAACAAACGGTACAGACAACACAAGTATTTCCAACATGATAAACATAAAGGGGATTTCTCAAAAACAAAACAATACAAAAATTCTCCAATAAGACATTGTAAATATAGCAGCATTGTTGTTATACGGCAATGTGAAACCAATGCATCTCAAAATTATATCAGCAGCCTTGGAACTATTGCTGGTTACAATACTTAGTATCTGTGTAGGGATAGGGAATGATACTTTTAATTCTGTATATCAAATCTCCACATTGCTCAGTGTTTGTTGGCCCATCCCTGGGGAAATCCCTCCCTGCCTGTTACTGAAGGTGACTGCCCTTTATTTTGAAGAATCATCAATTTATGGGGTTCTCCTAGTTTTGACAGCTTTTAAGGGGTTTTCCACAGAAATTGTTGCCCACGTCCACCTGACAAACCCTGTAAGTATGACTTCATTAACAATTTCCCCTGCATCTCCACTTTCAGATACTGAAGCTATTATACTTGTTGACCTGGGGCGTTAAGTATTCGCTTCACTCTGTACTTGACAGAAAGAATTATCCCCGTGTTTGCCAATCACCGGGTTATTCGAGGTAACAGATAAATACAGCTCAAGTTCCTCTGCCCCATGTTTATAGTTAAAACAAGAAACTTGGTGTAGTTTTAGTCTTAAAATTCTCAGAAGGAAATTTTAAACTTCACCATTTCAGTGCATCATGAAAAATGGGTTCAAAATGAGTCAGCCAGTCCTGGTTTACAGTGAAGAGACTCCTCCGCCTACGGCGAGACCACAGCTAGCCGCAGACGACCTGCGCTGGTCACCACACCGGGCACGCAGGTGTGAGTGGCCTCGGCATTAACTTCACTGCCTGCCTGCTCCCACGTCACACCCCCTTCTTTCTTGGGAGAGCACGTCAAAGGCCCGAAGTGTCCCCGCACCGGCTATGCGGCCGAGCTGCGCGGGCCCAAGGCAACCCCGACCTCGGGACCCGCGGAGAGTGCGGGAAGGACGCCGAGCCGGCTCCGCGCGCGGGCGCGAGGCCCCAAGGGCGAGTCTGCGTAGCGACTAACGAAACACTCCGGCTTGGGAAGGGGTCGGAGGGGTTTCACGGAGCCCCGTCCCCCAAGTGCAAGCGCCACCCGCCGGAGAGGGGAAGGCTCCCAGGCGCGGGGAGAAGCCAGGCCGCGAGGCCGCGGCGCCGGGGGCAGCGCCGCAGGCGGGACCCGGACCGCGCTGGCCCTTACCCACGGTGGACTTGCAGGCCTCGCAGAAGGTGTCGTCCGTGAAGCGCTCCATCAGGCTGGTCTTGCCCACGCCGCGGGAGCCGATGATGATGACCTGCAGCTTGAAGTCGGCCGGCCTGGGGGGCTGCTTCCTCCGGCGGCCCTGGCCGCCCGACAGCGCCGGGGAGCCCGCGCCCAGGCCGCCGCCGCCCCCGGCCCGCCTCTGCAGCGCGCGGCGCCCGATCCATGCACGCATGCGGCTCCCGCTCGCCGCCGCCCGCCGCCGCCCGGCCGCGCGCCCCGGCCCGCGCCTCGGCCTCCGCCGCGCGCGGGGTCGGCCCGGGCGCGGCGTCCGCCGCTCGAGCGGCTCCGGCGCCCGCGGCTCCGCGCTGAAGCTGCGCCGCGGCCGGCCCGCGCCCCGTCCCGCCGCCGCCGCGCCCGCCCGCGCGCGCCGCCGGAGCCGAGAAGGAAGCAGCTACTCCGCAGCAGCGGCAGCAGCATCCCGGACGAGGAGGCAGGAAGCGCAGGCGCGGCGGGGCGGCCGCGCGCGGGCGGGGCGGCGCCCCTGTCGGCCGGAGGACCGCCCGCCCTGCGCGGCGCTGGGCGCCCTCCCGCTGTCTGGCTCCCGCTCCTGCTGTCTGCTGCTTCTACCGGCTGGCAGGCCGGCCCTCGCGCCCTCCGCTCTTCTGTCGGCTGTTTTAGCTTTTCTCCTCCTGCATCTCCCGTTCCCCTTTCCACTCCTCCTTTTCAGTGCACAGTCCCCACGCACGTTATTAGCCGTCCTTTCCCACACCTGTTACACTTTCAAGATAATCCCGGAATCGCTGCTGCAAGCTCAAAAAGTTGCTGGGACGCTGGAAAGTGCCCGAAGCCAGCCCTCCACCGTCCACACTACCAACTCCGAGTCTCCGCCTACACCCCCATGGTGCACGAACGCCACTCGCTGGTGGAGCCCCGCGCACCCTGCTTCGCCTTCCTCATCTTTCCACGGAAACGCACCAAATCAGTCATTTTAACCCTGATTGCTGTCTCAGAGTTCGAAAGTTTTCATTCTGTTTAATTTTTTTCAACTTTAAAATGTTAATCCAATATATCCAAAGAGTTACCATTTTGATATGAACAATATTGAAAGTTATTAACAAAATGTTCTACATTCTTTTGTGCTAAGTCCTTTGAATCCGGTGTGTATTTTTGACTTACAGCACATGTGTTATGTGGCTGGTGGCTACTCCATCTAAAGTGTAGCTGTAGACTGTTTAGAGCTCAGGTTAATATTATCTTGGAACACCCAAATAACCAAACACCCCTAGTTGATGGCTTTTTAACTAATTTTCTGGAAGGAGTCATTAATTAAATATTCTTGACCTGATACCTTCAATACCAGATCATATAATTAATAGTTATAATTACTACTAATAAAGAATAATTGCCGGGCGCTGTGGCTCACGCCTGTAATCTAGCTCTTGGGAGGCCGAGGCGGGCGATTGCTTAAGGTCAGGAGTTCGAAGCCAGCCTGAGCAAGAGCGAGACCCGTCCTACTATAAATAGAAAGGAATTAATTGGCCAACTGATATATATATAAAAAATTGGCGGGATGGTGTGTCCAGCACCCAGGCTGAGGCAAGAAGGATCACTCGAGCCCAGGAGTTTGAGGGGCTGTGAGCTAGGCTGACGCCATGGCACTCACTCTAGCCTGGGCAACAAAGTGAGACTCTGTCTCAAAAAAAAAAAAAAAAAAAAACAACCAGACCATCATAATGGAACACTAAAGTACTGTGTATAAATAAATATGAGTAAATGTATTAAAGTTGTACAAAAATAGAATAGCCATGTTAGATGCCATAATTTCAATTATTTATAATCAGGTGAAGTCTGCCCGGGCTAGGAATACATAAAGTGGCATATTTAATGAAGAAGCAAACCATAACAAATATAGAATATAAGTAAATGGCATGCTCATTTTGGGAAGCAAGCGAGTTAAAACTCCCAACTGTGGTAAGAGATTGAAACTCTGAAAGTTTAGTAATTGAGCACTCAGGTAATATGTTTGTCATTTCTATTAGAAAGGATTTAAGGATACAGAAAATCACTGTGCTGATTCCTTGCCAGAGATTTGTTTAGCAAATTCCTCAGTGTGAACTTGAGCACCTCAGAACACAGGGTTCTAAATATGATAGGAGCTGGCAACATTTGAGGAACGATCACATTACCCACCAAATTTCAGCTGTACTGTATTTAGAACTAGGTTTAGTAATGCATAGAACATGTGGATGTTGCACAAGAAACCTGATTTGTAAATATCTAGCATGCCCACAGAGTAAATTGGAAAAAGTTTGCATTTATGAGAGAATTCTTAGCTTTGCAAAGCAATCACTGTAGGAATCTTTTTAGTATGTAGTTATTAGAATATGTAAACTATGATCCATCTCTATTATTTTAAACACAGCTCCATCACTTATGATCATGGACCATTTCTTAACTGTGGGTTTCTCTTCTGTGGGAATGAACAACTTATGTAGTCTATTGTAAATCATAACAATATATAAATGTAAGAAATTACAGAAACTGATTTATGCACGACTTTTCAGGAACACTGCGATTTCACAAAGCAAGACACGTCTGCAAAAGTCATCTCAAGATTTTTAATTCCGTCTGTTCTGACTTATAGCACTGCCTGTCCTAATAGGCAGATACATGTGGCCTGGCTTTCAGGGCTAGAGAACCTCTTGCCCCCAAGTAAAATATCTTACCCATAAGGTAGATCTGTAATTTTTCTCCACTAGAGTATTTAATGGACTAAATGACAGAGGTTGGGTAGTACCCCTGGAGAGAAGTTAAAATATTCATTTGCTGTTTTAAACCAATTACCAAGTCCTCTCTTATCCTTGGGTGATATATTCCAAGACCCCTAGTGGATGCACGGAAATCTCAGAAATCACAGAACCCTATATACACTATGTTTTTTCCTACACATACATACTTACAATAAAGATTAATTTGGAAAGTAGTCACAATAAGACATTAACAATAGCTAATAATAAAATACAGTGGACCCTTGAACAACACAGGTTTGATCTGTGAGGGTCCACTTACATGAGGATATTTTTCCTCTTTTGCCACAAGACAGCAAGGGTAGTCTTAGACAGCAAGACTGGTCCCTCTTCTTCCTCCTCCTCAAGGTGGAGATCACTATGATGAAGACCTTTATGATGATCCGCTTCCACTTAATGAGCAGTAAATACATTTTCTTTTCGTTATGATTTTCTTAGTAAAATTTTCTCTCTTTATTTTTATTTATTTATTTATTTTTGAGACAGAGTCTCGCTTTGTTGCCCAGGCTAGAGTGAGTGCTGTGGCGTCAGCCTAACTCACAGCAACCTCAATCTCCTGGGCTCAAGCAATCCTGCTGCCTTAGCCTCCTGAGTAGCTGGGACTACAGGCATGCACCACCATGCCCGGCTAATTTTTTGTATATGTATATTAGTTGGCCAATTAATTTATTTCTATTTATAGTAGAGATGGGGTCTCGCTCTTGCTCAGGCTGGTTTCAAACTCTTGACCTTGAGCAATCCACCTGCCTCAGCCTCCCAGAGTGCTAGAATTACAGTCATGAGCTCTCTTTATTGATGTATAAATATCAAAGTGCTTTTTTGCATATGGATACCCAATTTTTTCTTTAAATGTCATAAGTCAAATTGGTCAATAGCATTGTTTAGTTATTTATTTAATTTCAGAATATTACAGGTGTATAAACGTTTTGGTTACATAAGTTGCTTTTGTACCATTTAAGTCAAAATTATAAGTGTGCCCATCCCCCAGATAGTGTGCATTGTACCCGTTAGGTGTGAATTTACCCATCCCTTCCTTCTCCCTCCTGGTTAATTTTGGATGAATGTTATTTCCATATGTGCACATAAGTGTTGGTTGATTTAATGGTGAGTACATGTGGTGTTTGCTTTTCCATTCTTGTGATACTTCACTTGGAAGAATGGTCTCTAATTCTTTCCAGGTTAATACAAGAGGTATTAGTTCGCCATTTTTTTTAATGGCTGAGTAATACTCTATGGTATATTGTTGGGGACTGACATTATACTTTCCTGGTTTAAGAATTAAATTTAGTGAGTAATGTACGTGCTCTGCCCAGAGTGTTTGAGAGTAATGTGTTCTGGACAGGGTCCCTGTGACAAACAAGGTTGCTGCCTAGAGGCATAACAAAGGACCTGAGTTTCTGCACTAAGGCAAGAGCTGCCCAGCCCCACAGCAGTGGGTGTCTGGAGGCCACACGATAAACACATTATTCCTTTGATTGCTGCTTAGCCCCATGAGATGGCTGGTTAGTCAATGATGGGTAAGATCCCTCAAGGGAGGGGCAACCTAAGACATGCACAGCTGCAGGGGATCAGCCTAAGAGGAACTGGGGACGAAAAATGCCCCCAGTGGCTGCCTTGCCCAACCTTGCTAATCTCAGTCTGTGATCTATGCCTGGAGCCTAGAGCAACCACCTGGAAACCTTGAGTCAGGGGACATCTGTGTCCTTAAGGCTATGTGTTCCAGAATTTATGGCCATTGCTGTAATGCCTAGGTAGTCACGTATAAGGAACTAAGTTTAATTTTTTAGAGTATAAAAATAAACTGACCCAGTGCATTTGTCACTCAAGTCTTGTAACCGTCTTTGTATGTGTCTGTGTGTTTCTTTATGTTCTGTGTTCATTTCCCATCCTGCAAACAGGCCACGGCAGTATATATATATACCATATTTTATTAATCCACTTAATAAAATTTTCCTTACTCCAGCTTACTTTATTATAAAAATACAGTATGTAATATATATAACATACAAAATATGTGTTAACTATTTATGTTATAGGCAAGGCTTCTCATCAGCAGTAGGCTTATTAGTAGTTAAGTTTTGGGGGAGTCAAAAGTTATGCATGGATTTTCAACTGTATGAGATGTAAGACTCCCTTACTCCCCACATTGTTCAAGGGTCAACTGTAGAACAATTATAGTAATATACTATGATAAAAGTTATGTGAGCTGGGCTTGGTGACTCACGCCTGTAATCCTAGCACTTTGGGAGGCAAAGGCAGGAGGATCGCTTGAGGCCAGGAGTTTGAGACTAGCCTGAGCAACATAACTAGATCCCCATCTCTACAAAAAATTGTTTTAAAAAATTAACCAGGTTTAGTGGCACTCACGTGTAGTTCCAGATACCCATGAGGCTGAGGCAGGAGGATCACTTGAGCCCAGGAATTTGAGGTTGTAGTGAGCTATGATGACACCACTGCACTTTAGCCTGAGCAACAAAGTGAGACCCTGTCTCCACCCCCACTAAAGGAAAGAAGTTATGTGAATGTGATCCCTATCTCTCTGAAGATATCTAGTTGTACTTTATACTATCTGCGTCAGTCCATAGTACTCCAACACCTAGAACAATGCCTGCTACATAGCACAAGTCAGTAAATATTGGCAGAGTGAATGAATTAATTAAATTTT